AAACCAGTTGCAACCGTTACGTTTTTGTGGTTCGAGTTCTCAAGAACACAAAGCAAAAAGTTTGCTTAATGAAGATACTTCGTGTCATTTCGAAGTCACATAATTGATATTCTCTTAAAACAAACATTTATTGAATCTTTGATCCGCCTGCATGTCATTTACGTAACTGTTCAACACTGTCACATCCATTTGATCAACAAAAAAAAAGGTTTCAACATTTTATAAACATTCAAATTCCTCAGTCAAGTTGTTGTATTCACTGAAAACGACGAATAACGACTGAACAAACTCGAGATGATCTGTAATGAAACTGAAGGGATACTTTCGTATTATCGTTAGGCAATTTAACTGAACAATTTCAATGATATTGATACGTCAACTGATTGATGCAAAAACGTCAATGAAGTGTTATTCGACATAGTACTTTCTGGAACTAGAATGCGATCGGGAGAATAAAGTTTAAAAGTGCTCTAGAGTATAGTTATATTCACATTATTCATTTTGGTAATGTCCTATAAAACAATTTTCAATCCTGCACTCAGTACCTCTTATCTAAGGCTAAGTGCATCTTCATCTTGACGATATCTCATTTCCAACTGATAATTTCTTCAATTTGCAGTGAGTGTTTCTTAACGTAACTCTATCGTTTGCCGAGATCTGTAACGACTGGTGAGTAATTTGTGTGAAAACTTTTAGCCAGATGCTGAAGAACTGTTCTCGAAGAAGCTGCGTTTCTCAGCCGGTGATGACGCATCTAAATTACCGACAGCCATAGCGAATTTCGGTGAATTAACCGTATCGCTACCACAGTTTGCTGGTCGTTACCTGCCACTGGAACAGTCCTATTTACCGAGACCGATAAGGATTGGCTATGAATCGGATAATTACAAATATTCATCACGCCGATCCGATTTCGACGACCTGAATCGTACACAAAACGATGATCGAAGATTGCGATATGGACTGAGCAGAAATGTTGACGATGATAATAATGTGACGTCGATTCGATATCGACGAAGACAGCAGTTGGAAGAAGAGGTGTGGAATCGTTTACGAACGAACAACGCCGATGCTGGTCAACTCTCACCAGGCATTCACAATCATTCGCCTGGTAACAGTCC